AGATGCTCTCTTGGCTGGCTGGTTGCTGGGTAGGAGTGGCTGGGTAGGGGTCCTCTCTGTCCATTTCCCTGTCGATCTGAGCCTCTGGGCCTAGGCTCTCTTGCCTCTGTTCTAGCACTTGGGCTTCGATAGTATCGCTTTCTGGTGGCATTCTGTTGCTAGGGTTCTCTTATTACTAAGCAGAGTGGTCTGTGTGTTTTTGTTTTGAGTGTGAGACGTGTCTCAACTATCTGCTCTTATAGCTTATAGCTCCACAGCGCGCACGCTGCACGTCTTAAAACTTGCTGTAATTAGTTTCTTGTAAGGGATTTGTATATATTCAACAAAAATTACACCTATTCTAGAAAACTTGACGTTGTTTGTCAAGCGTACAGACAGTCTTACGACGCGTTTCAATCGAGCGTACGATAGGCAGAGAGCTCTATGTGAAGATCCAGTCCTAATCAAGAGCTGGTTTGAGCTTGTAGAGCAGACAAAGGCTAAGTACGGCATCTGTGACGAGGACGTCTACAACTTCGACGAAGCTAGCTTCATGATAGGCAAGATCACGACTTAGCTAGTCGTAACAGCGTTAGAGAGAAGGGGCCGACCAAAGGCAGTTGAGCCAGGCAATCGTGGGTGGGTAACGCTGATCGCAGCGATTAACGCAGCTGGCTGGGCAGTTCCGCCATTCCTCATCTTTGCTGGCAAATATCATCTATCCGCCTGGTACGAAGCAGAGATCCCACGCGACTGGGCGATCGCAGTTAGTGACAACGGCTAGACGAATAACGAGCTAGGTGTTGCCTGGCTAAAGCACTTTGATGCTCACACAAAGACTCGCGTTGTTGGCACACGTTGCCTACTTATTCTTGATAGCCATAAGAGCCACTAGTCTCTTCAGTTCCAAGAGTTCTGCAAGGAGAATAATATCTACACGCTCTGTATGCCGCCTCATTCGTCTCACCTACTCCAGCCTCTTGACGTTGGCTGCTTCTCGCCATTAAAGCGCGCGTATAGTCGTGAGGTGGAGAGTCTAATACGCAACCACATCAACCACATCACCAAGCTCGAGTTTCTACTAGCGTTTAAGGCAGCGTTTGATCGATCCTTCACACCAGCCAATATCCGCTTAGCCTTTCAAGGCGCAGGCCTTGTTCCTCTCTAGCCAGACGCTGTTCTATCAAAGCTTAACATAAAGCTGCGTACGCCTACTCCTCCAGCTGCTGTCGCAGAGGCTGTCTGGCAGGCTCGTACCCTAAGCAACGTACGCGAGCTTGAAGCCCAATCAACGCTAATACGTGACCGGGTTCAGCGGCATAAGAGTTCATCACCAGCGTCAATTATTGCGGCAATTGGCCAGCTTAAGAAGGAGGCAGAGATAATAATGCTCTTAGCTGAGCTAATGCGCGATCAGCTCGCCAGCCTTAAGAGGGCTAATAAGGCAGCAACAAAGCGTAGGCAGCGTAAGAAAAAGCGGATACAGAAGCGAGGAGTACTTACAAAGGGAGCTGGAGAGGATCTACTCGCTCAGCGCGAGGCTAATCAGCAGATTGCTCATGAAGAGCGTCAGAGAGGAGAGCGATCAGGTGTTAGCCGCCAGGCTTTGGCGCGCTGTAGTAGGTGCAGAGAGACTGGCCATAACTCGCGTACGTGCAAGAAAGATACTCTAGGTACTGCTTAATCTATTATGTTAATATGTAGTAAAACAACTATATTGTGGT